GCATTGTCCTACACTAGTGCGAAGAGGCTCTAGTATATCTAGACCCCATTGTTGGAATGGCTAAGGGCTTACTACGGAGGTAATCCAATTCTCGAATGGCTTTCGCGTGAAGGAGCTTGCTGACCTCTTCGTTGATGGCTTTCTGACGCTCTGGGGCGAAGCTCCTCCTCTTCTGCTTAACGGGCTTACAGGCTGGATTCACGCTGAGCTTGTGAGTGATGATAGAGGGATCAATCCCTCTCATGTCCTTTTGCTTCCATACAAAAACTTCCTTGTTCCCTTTCAGGAATTGGATGAGGAGATCCTTGATTTCCTTGCTCAGCTTGGATCCAACGTAAACAAGATGCTCTGGTTCCTCATCCATTTGAACAGGTTTCAACTCTTCTGATGGTGTTGGCCTGGTCTCGAGTTCATCCCTCATGTCAAGCTCATCCAATTGGATGCTCTCAACCTCCTTACTTTTCATGGATGTCATGTAGCATTCCCGTGCTACGCACTCGTCTCTTCGGACCACTCCAACTCCGTTTTCTGTTGAAAACTTCATTACAAGGTGATAGGTAGAGGGAATAGCCCTTATAGAATTGAGCAAGGGCCTTCCAAGCAGCATATTATATGCTGAAGGTGCATCAACCACTTGAAATTTCACAGTTGTTGTAGTCTGACAGGGTGGGTCACCTAAGGTCAAGATGAGTTGGATTGACCCTAGGGGCAGTACCCTTTCTCTTGAGAATCCCAATAGGTGGGCACTTACTAGTTCAAGTTTTTCCCTTCCTATATCCATTTTTTCAAAAGCAGAAGCAAAAATAATGTCTGCCAAGCTGCCATTGTCAATCAAAACACGGTGGACAATTCTGTTGGCTACCACAGCTCTTACCACCAAAGGGTCATCATGGGGATGTTTGCAGCCCTCCAGATCTGCATTTGAGAAAGTGATAATCATGTCTAAGCATGGAGACTTGGACATGGTATATACTTCAGGAGCTTCTGTGGCTCTGATTTTACGTAAGTGGGCTTTTCTGGTAGAGCTGGACCCTCCTCCTCTGGTAAATCCTCCTGATATCACTCTGATCTCCCCCATAGGTTGCTGGTGTGGCTCTGGTGCTTGATGCTGAGGGGGTAGAGGTAGGACAGCTCGATTTTGATTATCATTGGCCACATAACGTCGCAGCTGCCTTGTTGGATTAAAAATTCTATTTCTTTCTTCAATTGGATACAGTCGTCGATGTGGTGACCATGGTCTCTATGGAAATCACAATATTTCGTAGGATCCCTTTTTGTCGGGTCTACTTTCATCAGGGTGGCCATCTTAAGAACCTCTCATTTTGTACCTCATACAGTATTGAGAAACCGTAGCAGTCAGAGGGGTGAGCAGCCATGGTGCATACCTTGGTTGTAGCTCTAGTTGTGGAGGGCCGAGACGATCACTGACATTTCCTCTTCTCTTTGGGGAACGCTCTCTGTCTCTTCTTGGAGACCTGCCTCGCTCTCTGTCTCTTCTTGGAGACCTACCTCGCTCTCTTTCCTTTCTGGGACTTTGTTCTCTCTTCTTTTCTTCCTTCATTTTCTCCTTTCTTGACGAAGAGCTCCCGACCTTGGAGAGGAGCACTTCCTCACCATTTATGTACTTTTCTGCTTTGGCAAGCACCTCCGCCATACTAGCTGGGGGTTTTTTGAGATGGAAAATATCAAATCTTTTGACTAAACTCCCAGACCTACTATAAAGGCTGTAATAGTAAAATTTTTGTCTGGGACATCCTCCTTCAAGGATTATGAGTTGAACTGTTGGACATAAGGCCGTAGGTTCTCATCAGGCCTCTATTTCACATTTAAAATATGGTAGCTCGATTTCCTATAGGTCCGAGCCCCGATGAAGTGGGACACAAACAAGATTGACAACTCTTTAAAAGAGGAAATCGAGACTAGGGGGAGTCTGTTGATCCATGCTAAGGCTGAGCCTTTCAGGGTGATAGCAAAGGTCCTACATCTCACTGGATCTTGATATTCATGCAACTCAATTTGGTTTTTGTAGGTGTTGAGGTGATCCACGAGATCTTTTGTCCCATCGAAAACATCTACCTGCGGCATTCTGAACTTAGGTGGAAAAGGAAAGTGCAGCACCCCAGCAGTGAATGGGGACTCGGTTTGTTGCACCAAGGCATCCATAGTGACTGGGGCTTTGCTCTTTACTGCCTCCTTCATCTGGCTGAACTCTTGCTGGATGTCTTTGAAATGTTGCTCCAAGTGGTGTTCTTTTCTCACCTGTTGATAGGGGAAGAAGTCGTTCCTCTCCCCTTCCTTATACTGACTTTGCACTTCCTCATTGTGACCTTCCTAAGGGGTAGGCGAGGTTTTTGCCCCAAGGTATGACTATTCTCTCCCACCTCATTAACTTCAATAAGGGGGTCGAGATATGATTGCTTCCTTGGTAGTGGATTATTCTGGCCTCCTTGGGCCGGTCGCGCCTCCTGTGGGCGTTGTAGGAGTTTTAAGAGCTCTTCATTTTATTTTATCAGACGTTCATTGACAAGACGAAGGGCCTTCATCTCATTATTCATGGAAAGGCCCCCCATGGGGGGATTGGCTTCTTGCGCATTTTCGGGTTGTCTGTTATTTGCGGCTTCCTGTTGATCTTGTATCCGTAGAGGATTGGTCTGATTTCGGCTCATGTTTCACGTTGATATCATCAGTCATTGAAAAATCAGCTTTATTTGTAACAGGAATAGTCGTTCCCACAGATGGCGTCAAACTGATGGTGTTTTTTCAACGTGAGGCCATTTTTGTGATGACGAGTAAATGAAATAAACAATATTGAAATTATTGAGATCTGAACTATTAGACTTAAGAGAATTGTTGGGGAGTTGGAGAATTAACATAGTAGAAATATAGTGGTTCGCCAACTCGGGAGCTTGACTAGTCTACTCTAGAATGGAGGCTTCTACTCCTTTTCTTTCAATAATCCCCGTTACAAGGTTACAATGACCCCTTTTTGCTTCTAGGATTTCTCCTCCTGTTAAGAGGTGTTACATTGCATTTATAGAGTTATTCCCTATTAAGTGGGATCCTAGCCGAGATTCTTGTCTTTAATTTGCAGGATTCTCCCTAATTTTTAGGAGAAGATTTTAGTTGGGTGAGATTAGGTGCCTTGATTATAGCTTCCTAATGCTTTAGGAACCTCTCGTAATTATCCAACTGTTGCTTTGGTTGTCATTGCCATCGTTTATCTCGAGGGTACCTCCAGCTCTACTCTTTTAAATTCTGTTTGCCTATCTGACCTCCTGAGCTGGCACTTGGGATTTATTTTAAGGTATCAACAATATTATTTTTTATTGTGGCTACATTGAGTTTTGTTTGATTAGCCCGAAAGTCGTTTTAAAAAAAAAATTATATATATTATTTTATTTTATTTTTAAATGATTACAATTAATGTTGTCTAAGTGGAAAAATGTTAAATTTTTTTCCTATATTAGACTACCATTAATTGAGAGTTAATTTTAATTTGTGAAAAACAGGCTGAATTTATTGTCCAATGAGATGAGGCCAATATTATTAAGTGATCTATTTTGATGAGTTTATGTACATCTTTTAATTTGTGTCATTAAGGCGGTTAAGTGTAGGCCTTAATCTAATTGTGGCTCGTAATAGGAGAGCCCATTAAATTTCATTATAAATAGCAGGTTAAGTACCTCTCCACTTCATTGAGAGCCGTCTATTCCTTTGAAGAAAAAAAGGAAGACCTTGTCCTTTCAAGAAAGAAATTCGGAGATCGAGTATCATGACTCATACAACTATGTTCTAAATCTTTTAATTTAGGTGTTCTAAATTTCATGTACGAATTATTAAAATTTCTTAACACATATTCCTCGAGGTTCTTGGCAAAATCGACAGCCCAATTCGATTCGAGGTCACGAAGTGGCTGTTCTGTGTGAAATTTGCCTCTGAAATCGTGTTGTTCTTGATCTCTATCCATTTTTATGGTGACAGAATAGGATCGTCCATAATAGATACTCAAATGCCTCGTTCTGACGAAATGCCCATTCTTTGAACTTAGGGTCTTAACAATAAACCAAGAAATCCTAGAAAAGGTACATATCTGTACCTATGGAGGGAGAAATAGAAAGCGCGAATGATCAGAAAATCGCAGAGTGCACGAACGAGAGAGAGAGATTCAAAAATGCTGGTGACCGTTTTCCCGCAACGGGAAATGATTTTTCTGGGCTTGGGCTTTGACATATTAATAGGGTCGAAAGGAGGAAAAAAAGATGGGAGCCCATCTTTCAGGGCTAGGCCCAGTCCAACCTTAATATTATTAAATCAAACAAGTTGGTTAGAAGAATATGTTAATTGAGATCAATGCATGTATATGTAAGCAAACCCAAATGCATAGATTAACCTTTTACCATTTCACATAGTACACAAGCATCTCCTTCTTATAGCACATTACCACAAATTGATAGAAGTTGTTTTCATCAGTTAATTGCTGTCGAAAAACAAATTATGCGTGATTTTTTAAAAAAATTGCCTATATAATTACCGTCTTCAACATTTAAGCTTGGTTACGTTCAAGAATTAGCCTCCACATGTTGATATTGCATTTCGCTTACGTCTCTCATATTAGTGTTATACATAAAAGTCTTGTAAACTATATAAGATGTTATTTGTTATATATATTTTGCCTTAAAACATGTAAGTTTTTTTAGATGTCTAGAGATGCATGGAGTCTTGAAACTAACAACAAAACCTGATTGAGATGTCTCAACATTGAAATTGAACATATTTTTTTTGCATTTTACGACTATGAAACAATCTTTCCCTTTAATGGATGCCCAAAATAAGCAAAAGGTCAATGAAAAAAAAGCCACCTAATTTGCATTGTCTGAATTTAGCTTATAGACACCCAACTTCAATTTAGCTATTCTTTATATAACCTCACATTTTTAGAGAACTTGCTGTTCTATTCTAATTTTGGCCTATACATTTTTTGTTCCTTAGTCTAAATATAAATGCCTCCATATGCTTCTTCCATGTTTGAACCCCTTCTCACATCAAGGGGAAGAAAAATGGGTTCAAAGAAGACAATCACCATTATTAGTGTCTCATTTGTACTCCTAGTGGCAATGGTGGTCTTCTTGGCCATTACTTTCACCCACAACGATGGCCAAGTTGCCTCTCCTACAAGCAGTAACGGTAATATTTCATCATCATTGAAAGCAGTTCAAGTGATCTGTCAACCAACTGACTATAAGGAAACTTGTGAGAATAGTCTCTCTGCTGCCACGAACACCAGCGACCCCAAAGAACTTGTCCAGGTTGCCTTCAATGTCGCGATAAAGGAGATTGGTGACGTGATGAAGAGTTCTCTTCTTCTTCAACAAGCTGCCAAGGACCCAAAGACGATTCAAGCTTACAAAACCTGTAATAAGCTCTTAGATGATTCTGTTTATGATCTTGGGCGATCTTTGGATAAATTCAACTCTTTTGATGTTAGTGAATTTGAGAATGTCATTGCTGATCTAAAGACATGGCTTAGTGCCGCCATAACTTTTCAAGGTACTTGCTTAGATGGCTTTGAGAAGACAACGGGAGATGCTGGTGAGAAGATGAAGCAATTATTGAAAATGTCCCAAGAGCTCACCCGAAATGGCCTTGTCATTGTTAGTGAGCTAGATCAGGTACTCAACTCAGATCAGTGAAGTCTCGTCTCAACAATTTTAGATCCGACTATTTCAATTTTATTCGTTATTATCATATTTTTTATTAAATCATAAGTAATTATTGTATATTTTTTACTATTTTATTTGAAGTTAGTTTTGGTTTTCTTCTGTTTCGTCCATCAGGTCCTCTTGACTTTAAATATACCGGGCTTCAGCCGGCGACTACTTTCCGATAAACCGGAGATTTCCTCGGGAGAGCACCCTTCATGGGTCGAGAACGGAAAGCACCGCCTCCTTCAAGCTACTGCGGCCAGCATCAATGCTGATGTGGTGGTGGCTCAAGATGGATCAGGAAAGTATAAAACAATTTCTGAAGCCCTAAATGATGTCCCAAAGAAAAACAACATCACCTTTGTCATCTACATCAAGGCCGGTGTTTATGAGGAACATGTAGTTGTTGGTCGGGATTTATGGAATGTTATGTTCGTCGGAGATGGGCAAACAAAAACCACGATCACCGGAAGCAGGAGCTACGGTGGTAACGTTGACACATATAATAGTGCAACAGTTGGTAAGTAATTCAAAAATGTTATGCAAACAAACACAAGCATGATTATTTTCATAAGATTAGAGACTTAATTGATATATTATCTATAGGGTTACAAATGAATCTGTTATTTTGAATTTATGTCGAGTAATAGTTAATTATACTCACATATTCATATTTAATCATTTCAAATAACCAAAGACGTTTATCATCTTATTTATTACATTTGTCAAGTTTGATTAGACCGACACTCATAATTTTAAATCAATACAGAATTTGAAGTCCATTTTCTATCAATCAAACTAACAAATTTGAGGTTTTTCATAAATAATAATTCATATATCACACCGAGAATAAAAAAAATTAAAAGACGGTAGAAATTTCTTTTATAGTGTATGTATTAGTTAATTAAGTTTGTCATGTCAACATTGTCTTTGTTGGTCCACTGCATCTTCAATCTCTAGCAAACTTTAGGTTCACCACTTCTCTTCCAACAGTGTACCAACATTTGTTGGTACACTATTCCCTCCAATTTTTAGATCCCAGACACTCACCTCACACTCCTCTGTCAATCCCCATAGGTGGTGTACTTAGAATCCAACTCAAACCCAATCAAAATCCCACTCAAAATTAGTGAAAAAGAAGAGTTTCTAAATGCGGCCAAACCTATAAGTTTGACAATAACTCAAGCTACCGAATTTGATTATTTTTGAGTTCGCCTACAAAACTAATAATTGTTAACACTTTAATTGTACGCAGTGTGAAAATCACCATCATCTCTAATGCTATAAGCGTTCGAGTAATTAACCTTATCATACTCTTTTTTGCCTCCTAATCTGGCTCTGCGTTTTAAGTTTGTTATCCTAACCGCCTCTTCTGCTCCATCAGGCCCTTGCTAATCGTAATCTAATGATGCAGCTGTGGAGGGAGATCAATTCATGGCCAAGGACATAGGGTTTGAGAACACAGCAGGAGCCATCAACCAACAAGCCGTGGCAATCCGAGTATCAGCAGACAGGTCCATCTTCTTCAACTGCCAAATGGATGGTTACCAGGACACTGTTTATGCTCATGCCTACCGTCAATTCTACCGTGACTGCACCATCTCCGGCACCATTGACTTCATCTTCGGCGATCCCCGAGCTGTCTTCCAAAATTGCAAGTTGATTATCAGGAAGCCACTGGACAATCAGGCCTGCATGGTCACAGCTCAAGGAAGGGAATACGAGCCAGCACCGACTGGAATTGTACTTCAGAACTGCCATATCACGGCGGACCCTGAGTACTTCACTGCTAAAATGCCGATCAAGTCGTACCTCGGACGGCCATGGAAGATGTACTCTAGGACCATCATCATGCATTCTAAGGTATTGTTTGTATTACTTTGTTGTTAAATGATTCTCAATATTACTCGTTGAAAAATAAGAGGTTCAACAACACACGGTCTAATATCCGTATTCGTTTTGTTAGAAAAAAAGGATAGACATTGAAGAAAGGAAAAATAATAAGTAGTGAGTTTATTCACAGTTTATTAAGACACGTTTACTCTTTTTTTTTTGGCATCTGAAGTTAGATTCTGACTTGATATCTCAACAGATTGATGCGATAATCGATCCCGAGGGGTGGTCGCCGTGGCAAGATACTTGGGCCCTTGACACTTGCTGGTATGCCGAGTTTGGAAACATTGGTGCCGGTGCAGGCCGGACTGATAGGGTAAGATGGCCAGGTATCAAGAAGATTACGCCAGATGAAGCTGCCAGTTTTACTCCTTCAAAGTTCATTGAGGGCGAGACATGGGTCCCTCTCACTGGAGTGGCTTATGTTCCTGGGATGATGGAGACTTGAATCAATCACAATCTATGGGAAAGTTGCATATGTATTTAGAATGGAATAGATCACAAAAGATGTACCAATGGAAGTAATTCATGATGAGAGGGATATACACCAACCAATACCGTTAGGTTTAGTCGATTTACTGCTAAAATAAGGATATTAAACCCGAAACTCCAAGAGAATGTGCAATGACCGAAAGAAATGAACTAAAAAAAAGTGTTACATTTTTCATACAATTTCTGATCTGATCAAGCTTGAATTTTTTTACTAATTTTGTTCATTTCCGTTATGTTTTTGCCATGAATTCATATTAACATGTTTTGAAGAGAAAGTTGCATGTACATATACTTTAAAAGTTGCCTGCATTTACTGTATCCACTTGGCAAAAAAATATTTTATCCAACACATTATAATGGATGCTCTATCTTCTCAAGTTATTTGTGCAATAAGAACATGTAAAAATGATAGNCTTTAAAAGTTGCCTGCATTTACTGTATCCACTTGGCAAAAAAATATTTTATCCAACTCATTATATTGGATGCTCTATCTTCTCAAGTTATTTGTGCAATAAGAACATGTAAAAATGATAGTGGTCAACATGTAGACATCATGTTGCATGATGCATTGATACATCATTTTTTTGGTGGGTTTTCGGAAATTAATACAAAAACAAATTTCCAAACCTCGACTTGATAAATCATTATCTTGACTCTTATGCCCCAACAGTAGAGATTTATGGGGAAGGACCCGGCCCAATTAAGGAACCTATTCGACCCAAGTCCATTGCACTATAATTAGAGTAAAACATGCGTAAGGCAATTTTTGCCAGTAAATACCAACCACCCTCTATTTTGTAGGAACTCCTTGACCTCACATTTCATAACAGAAATTTACTCTCTTTCCTTTCATGGCTGATTTTTCTCTCTGCTCTCTGGTCTCTANAACATGCGTAAGGCAATTTTTGCCAGTAAATACCAACCACCCTCTATTTTGTAGGAAATCCTTGACCTCACATTTCATAACAGAAATTTACTCTCTTTCCTTTCATGGCTGATTTTTCTCTCTGCCCTCTGGTCTCTGTGATTCAATTGTCACAAACCAACCGAAAATAAGAGACCAGAGGGGGTATAAAATACTATGCACAAATAGAGCTCCAATAGCTGTGCTACTTCTCTCTCTAATCAAGAAAAGAAAGTAATACATAAGAGAACAAATCACAGATTTTTTTTTTCTTCTGTTCTTAGTTCTTACTCTTTCGGTTTCGGTGTAGATAAAACTATAGGTCAATATGGGATCTAGTGAACACTCGGGGGGGAGCAAGAAGAAGGTCACTATCATTGGCCTGTCTTCTATTTTCCTAGTGGCAATGGTTGTGGCGGTGGCTGTCGGTGTCAACCGCCAGAACAGCGGCTCTGGTGGTGGTGCAGGTGGCGGTGGTGGTGAGATATCAACAAGCAACAAAGCAATCAAAGCCATATGCCAACCCACTGATTATAAAGAGACTTGCGAAAGCAGCCTCTCTTCAGCTCAGAATACCACTGACCCTAAAGAGCTCATCAAGGTTGCCTTCCAATACACGGTGACCAACATTGGCGACGCCATCAAGAATTCTTCTCTTCTTCAAGAAGCAGCCAAGGACCCGAGAACATCCGAAGCGTTTGAGACATGCAAGGAGGTCCTGGACACCGCCATTGATGATCTCAAGAGATCTTTCGATAAGGTTAGCACTTTTGACATTAGCAAGATGGATGATTACGTTGCAGATCTCAAGACATGGCTCAGCGGATCAATCACATACCAAGAGACTTGCTTGGATGGTTTTGAAAACACGACAGGCGACTCTGGGGAGAAAATGAAAAAACTATTGAAAACAGCAGGCGAGCTCTCGAGCAATGGCCTCGCCATGGTTTCCGAGCTTGGCCAAGTCCTTACCTCATTACAAATCCCTGGTCTCACCCGTCGTCTCCTATCTGAGGAGGAAGAATCGATCCAAGATCCTTCATGGGTCAATTCTAAAAGGCGCGACCTCCTTGGGGCTCAACCCGGTGCCATCAAGCCCAATGCCGTGGTTGCTCAGGATGGGAGTGGAACACATAAGACAATTAATGATGCCTTAAAGCTTACAACAAAGAGCAGCAACGATACCTTTGTGATATTGATCAAGGCTGGTGTTTATAAGGAGTATATCGAAATTCCTAGGCACGTCAACAATATTGTGTTCCTCGGAGAAGGTCCAACCAAAACCAGGATCACAGGAAACAAGAATTACGCTGATGGGGTGGGCACTTACAAAACTGCAACAGTTGGTATGTCACTCGTTGGTCAATAAAGTGATGCAACTTGTCGTACTTTAATTTTTTTTTTTTTTCATTATTTTGAAATAGAGATCTCGACAAGACCGGTGACCCAAAAAGATGCGACACATTTACATACTTGTTAGGTCGGGTTGGCCCGACCAGGAAAGGCATAGAAAAAGTGGAACTGGAATATACCCCCCCCCCCCCCCCCCCCCCCCCCCCCCCCCCCCACCCCCTCCCCCCCCCCCCCCCCCCCCCCCCCCNCCCCCCCCCCCCAATCCATTTATGTTGCGCTTATGGTGTCTAATATGCAATTCTATGTTATCTTATTGCCAACTGATAATCTTGTTACCTTCAAATGATGCAGCTGTGAATGGAGATCATTTCATGGCTAAGGACATTGGATTTGAGAACTCAGCAGGAGCTATAAAGCATCAAGCTGTGGCACTCCGCGTCTCAGGTGATATGGCCATCTTCTACAATTGCCAGATCGATGGTTACCAGGACACTCTCTACGCTCACTCGTACCGGCAATTCTACCGGGACTGTAACATCACCGGCACCATCGACTTCATCTTTGGCGACGCCTCGGCTGTCTTCCAAAACTGCAGGATGATTGTGAGGAAACCACTAGACAACCAGGCCTGCATGGTCACCGCTCAGGGAAGGAAAGACAAGCGTGGACAAGGTGCGACTGTCCTCCAAAACTGCTACATCACCGCAGAACCGGCATTTATCGCCGCTACACTGCCGTTCAAATCGTACCTCGGACGACCATGGAAGGACTTCTCTAGAACCATCATCATGCAGTCTTTCATTGATAGCACTATTGATCCAGAAGGATGGGCTCCATGGGCTGGTAATTAATTTTGGATTATTTTTTTTTTAGAATAACTATTTTCTCCCTCCTCGTGTGTGAAACACGTATAGGACTTATACATCGATCGAGTATGAATTAAAATATGGCTTGCATATTTGAAAAAAAAAAAAACGATACGACATTATCTATTGACAGCCCAAATCGCATCATGTTTTAACTCTTCATCGAGTCTTATTCACCACTTTCAATAAGCAAAATGTTTCAATCATTCTTTACAATCCAATATGAAATTCTCACATGTGAAATCTCGATAGGTACTTATGCCCTTGACACCTTGTGGTATGCTGAGTATGACAACACAGGCCCAGGTGCTGGGCAGGCCGCAAGAGTGAAATGGAGTGGTATCAAGAAGATTTCTCCACAGGAAGCTGAGGGTTTCACCCCTGCAAAGTTCATTGAGGGTGATATTTGGATCAAGCCCACTGGCATCCCCTATGATTCTGGGATGATGCAATCATTAAAAGTGTCCTCTGTAATGTGATTTTACTGTAAAATCTGTGTTGTTTCTCATGCATTTTTTTTTCCCAGATCAGCATGAGTTTATGTCAATAAATTTCTCAAGGCAATTTTGTGAAGTTCGAGGAACTTCAAAATGGGAAGTTGTAGGAAAATAAATAAAGTTATGCACCAAAGTGTTTTTTATGTTATATGAATTTACCATTTTCTTTTCTTTGGATATTGTGACTATGAGATGATGAATCTGTACCATGAGGTGCATTTCCCTCCACCACCCCAAGAACAAGGGTAGAGACTCAAATGGTTTGATTGATCTAAAAATGATGGGTGTCAATTCATTCTTGTTATAGTATATCAAGAGTCGTGTTATTTGGAGTTGTATTATATTCGGATTATACCATTTTTGATAGTGTTGTATTAGATTCATGTTGGTAAAAAAAACTAATTACTTACAGAACAATTCGTATACTAGATGACAAAGATATGGAAAGATAAAAATATTTACTTGTGTTTAGCATTTGTTTGACTTATTTAGTATTCGAGCAGGCTGGATCGATCGAATTCGAAGCCCTAGGCAAAATTTCTAAATAACGCACTCTAAAATTGAGAATAACAATATAACTATGTTATTTTAGAAAATCAAACATTCTTATTACTGGAAACTAATTTATAAAAATTCTTTTTTGAGATTGAATGGGTTCAATTTTTTTTCTCTTCATTTGTGCTTTTGATACCCAAGTTTATTTTTCTAATTGACATAATTGTATTAAAAAAACTTGCCAATAAAATAATATATGAGAATTTAATGCCAGGAAACGAGTAAAAATACGAGTGTAAGGAATAAGAAGGGGGTTGAAAAATAAAATAAAATTGAAACATTGATTTACGCATATATATTAGTTCAAAATCCTACTCTAAACTTGTTGATTCACACAACATATCAATCGTAAAAGTTTCAAATTTGTTAATTCCTAGGAATACCAAAAGAATTGGGAAGAAAAAAATAAAATTCTCTCAATATTATCAATTTACTTAAAGTCGTAAAATAGTATAAATAGTACTAAAACCCTAAAATAAATTAGGAAATAACAAAACGTGGTTTAATTATAACTAATCACATAATTAGGCCATATTATAGATTTTACCAAAAAAAAAGGAAAAGTTTCAAACTAATCAAATGATTAAAAACTACTAACCACTCATAGTTAAGGCAGAACTGACGACAATTAATTTTAACTTAAAACGGTAAAGTTATTCAACAACAAAAAATTACTAGAAACAACAAAAATGTGTTTTTCAGGCCTTAGATGAATGAATAAGCCCAAAATCCGGCATGGGTTATTGCATCCTCCTTGGTTGGGGGTGATATGAGTTCATTTTGTCTCTCCGTTTGTGGAAATGGCTCCAAAAAAAGTCAACTCATTTGACAAACCTAACCCGCCTATACATCGATCATAGCAATCTAAGTACTGTATAGTAATCTGATCTACAACAAAATCGACATTGGATCTACTTCGGAGAAAGTTAAAATATCAAAAACCATAGAGAGGATGGAAACTTTAGTGGTGTTGATGTTTGGTGAGCACCAAAAAATTTCTTTCAATGCTGGTGGGACACATACAATAAGAGCAATGTTATACAGATTTAAAAAATTGACTTAAAAACTTAACTTGACGATATAACTGTTATAAATAAATTTTTTAGGTTAATAATTTGGGAACATAATTTTTTTGACCTTTAAATCATCAGTGAATCCCAAAATTGAATGTACTTTGATCTAATGTTCATAATGCGTTATATTTTTAAATTATATCTCAATAACATTTGTGTTACTCATATAGAAATCTTATATATAGTATGTATAATAGTCCAAGTGAAGGATAAAGCTACAATATCCAAAAAAAATCTTCAATATCATACTGATNTCATATAGAAATCTTATATATAGTATGTATAATAGTCCAAGTGAAGGATAAAGCTACGATATCCAAAAAAAATCTTCGATATCATACTGAAATTTATTATCGATCAAATTACATCTTATAAAAAAGGTTTTAATTCATTAAGTTAATTGATAATCAATTATAATTTATCTCAATCAAATTATATTTTAATAATTATTCGTAACACTTTAAAATTTATTATAATTGATGGTGCTCAGAAATATTAGTCTAAGTTTAAAACCGTGGCCCGTGGCCCAAGGGGAATGCAAAATAAATATAAAGAGTAAAAGATGGTAAAACTGCCAGGGAAAATTCAGAACACAATGTAAGTGATTCATCTTAGATGAAGGACTAAGGTTACATCCACTGTAAGAGAATCTCTTACTCCTTAGAATTGTATATTATTTGATTTCTGGTGAGTACAATGGTTTTGTTGGCATNGTGGCCCGTGGCCCAAGGGGAATGCAAAATAAATATAAAGAGTAAAAGATGGTAAAATTGCCAGGGAAAATTCAGAACACAATGTAAGTGGTTCACCTTAGATGAAGGACTAAGGTTACATCCACTGTAAGAGAATCTCTTACTCCTTATAATTGTATATTATTTGATTTTCTGGTGAGTACAATGGTTTTGTTGGCATATTGCCTTTACAAGAATAACACTTAGATAAGTTCGAGGTGTTGATGACTCGAGACTGCAACGAGGAAGATGATGTTTTATTGTAGGGTAACACTGTCCTATTTATACAAGTGATCCATTTAAGATTTCTCGTCGCTCCTTCTTTTTTTTCTATTGATTCTATAGGCCCTTCTGCTTTTGTTCTGTAGCGATCTCTGTCATACGGTGTCATTATGCCCACAATCTCTGAACGATTACGTGCACCAACATTCTCCGTACCAAGAGTGTGTGACCGTCATGATTGTCAAAGGTGGTCCCCCTATTCTCAGGACACGTGGCGACGGGACATGCTCTAGGATAGGCATGGGGTTCAACTTCTTTATCCCGAGCTGTTCTTCGGTTGAATTGGATTGGGGCTGGATTGAATTTTCAGGTCTTCTGGTAATGTTAAGTTTTACCCTTTGGCCTCTGTTCACTTTACTCTTGATGTGGACAGATTGTGGGTGCTCCATTTGAGCTATTATGCAAAGTAAGGGTTTCCTGAATTTATTGAACTCTTTGATTATGACGACCCATACCCAAAATCTCATAATTATCAATAACTTTATTAAGTTATAATTTAAACAATTTTAAATTATAACTTAGATTTATGTTTCTTTATGAGTTGACCTAGTCTAATCAAAGTCAACTAGCTCAAATAGAATATGGAGTGAGTTTTCACTTAGCTAGACGTGACGTTCCTGCTACCTTTGATTAGAAGTGTTAATCGAAGTGAGTTATTTGAGATTGATTAAGATAAAACTTGGTTGGAGCTCAACTCGTGTTTTACATGAGCTGAGTTTGAATAATTTTTTAGAATCGTTTAAAAAAACGAGACTAAAAAATCGGCTCAAACTTATAAAATTCGGCTTATTTATATATAAAATAATCGAACTACTCAGACACTATTCGGGCTCGGGCTTGACTCGAGTTCTAAATGAGCCGAACTTAAATAATTTTTAACTTCATTTAAAAAAAATCTCTCGCCAAATTTAAGTTTAAACTCGTAAAATTCGACTCAACATATACTCCTATCTTTAATGACAAGATTAGCAAAGACCGCTTTTGGGTTGGGGGTGTGAACCCATAGTTGACGTTGATTGTCCAAATCTATCATTTCTCCTTCTGTCTTTCTTTCACTTTTTGTTTTACTCTACTAAACTCACCTTACAGCTTTAGTGCAGGTGTGCATTAGAGGTTAAAATAAAAATATTAATGCTCCTGTAATGTCACATTTAAATACTTATAGCGATATATATACTCTAATACATATTTTCTCTGTGAATTTGATTTAAATGAGACTAATTTTAAATATAATTAGGTCGTTATTCATACATGGGAGCTGAAGTTGATCCACTCCCAAGGATTACTCTCTTTACATTCAACGAAATCTAGTACAATTTTCACTTTTAACTTTTTTGTTCAGTTTCTGAGCTATCAAAGTTCTCCATATTCATTCTTCTCTTCTCGGCAGTCACAACCGGTCGTCGGCTCTCTTGTACGTGCTATCACCACAAGAATCTCTTTTCTTATAGTTACATTGTTTACTGTTTATATACTCCCTCTCTCTTCTCTCTCTCTCTCTCACACACACATACACACAATATTTGTATAGCCACAACAGATACCCGAGATCAGAGCAGCATTGGGTACGGGTTGGCTGTGTAGCAGTAAAGTAAGGTTTTTCTCCAATCTCTCAACTTTTCACTAGCTTTAAAATAGGACATCGTTTGTTAGTACGAGATAAGAAAATAGAGGGTCAATGTTTTTTTTTAAATTACCCATTTCGTGGAAAAGTGAACCCGACGTGATTCGATTGACAATAAATTAGTAATAAATAAAGTCAATCAAAATAATATACGACACAACTTATTTATATACCGATTATTCTGGTTCATATAATACACAATTCATAACATTTTTATGGNTTTTTGCCTCCTAATCTGGCTCTGCGTTTTAAGTTTGTTATCCTAACCGCCTCTTCTGCTCCATCAGGCCCTTGCTAATCGTAATCTAATGATGCAGCTGTGGAGGGAGATCAATTCATGGCCAAGGACATAGGGTTTGAGAACACAGCAGGAGCCATCAACCAACAAGCCGTGGCAATCCGAGTATCAGCAGACAGGTCCATCTTCTTCAACTGCCAAATGGATGGTTACCAGGACACTGTTTATGCTCATGCCTACCGTCAATTCTACCGTGACTGCACCATCTCCGGCACCATTGACTTCATCTTCGGCGATCCCCGAGCTGTCTTCCAAAATTGCAAGTTGATTATCAGGAAGCCACTGGACAATCAGGCCTGCATGGTCACAGCTCAAGGAAGGGAATACGAGCCAGCACCGACTGGAATTGTACTTCAGAACTGCCATATCACGGCGGACCCTGAGTACTTCACTGCTAAAATGCCGATCAAGTCGTACCTCGGACGGCCATGGAAGATGTACTCTAGGACCATCATCATGCATTCTAAGGTATTGTTTGTATTACTTTGTTGTTAAATGATTCTCAATATTACTCGTTGAAAAATAAGAGGTTCAACAATACACGGTCTAATATCCGTATTCGTTTTGTTAGAAAAAAAGGATAGACATTGAAGAAAGGAAAAATAATAAGTAGTGAGTTTATTCACAGTTTATTAAGACACGTTTACTCTTTTTTTTTTGGCATCTGAAGTTAGATTCTGACTTGATATCTCAACAGATTGATGCGATAATCGATCCCGAGGGGTGGTCGCCGTGGCAAGATACTTGGGCCCTTGACACTTGCTGGTATGCCGAGTTTGGAAACATTGGTGCCGGTGCAGGCCGGACTGATAGGGTAAGATGGCCAGGTATCAAGAAGATTACGCCAGATGAAGCTGCCAGTTTTACTCCTTCAAAGTTCATTGAGGGCGAGACATGGGTCCCTCTCACTGGAGTGGCTTATGTTCCTGGGATGATGGAGACTTGAATCAATCACAATCTATGGGAAAGTTGCATATGTATTTAGAATGGAATAGATCACAAAAGATGTACCAATGGAAGTAATTCATGATGAGAGGGATATACACCAACCAATACCGTTAGGTTTAGTCGATTTACTGCTAAAATAAGGATATTAAACCCGAAACTCCAAGAGAATGTGCAATGACCGAAAGAAATGAACTAAAAAAAAGTGTTACATTTTTCATACAATTTCTGATCTGATCAAGCTTGAATTTTTTTACTAATTTTGTTCATTTCCGTTATGTTTTTGCCATGAATTCATATTAACATGTTTTGAAGAGAAAGTTGCATGTACATATACTTTAAAAGTTGCCTGCATTTACTGTATCCACTTGGCAAAAAAATATTTTATCCAACTCATTATATTGGATGCTCTATCTTCTCAAGTTATTTGTGCAATAAGAACATGTAAAAATGATATTGGTCAACATGTAGACATCATGTTGCATGATGCATTGATACATCATTTTTTTGGTGGGTTTTCGGAAATTAATACAAAAACAAATTTCCAAACCTCGACTTGATAAATCATTATCTTGACTCTTATGCCCCAACAGTAGAGATTTATGGGGAAGGACCCGGCCCAATTAAGGAACCTATTCGACCCAAGTCCATTGCACTATAATTAGAGTAAAACATGCGTAAGGCAATTTTTGCCAGTAAATACCAACCACCCTCTATTTTGTAGGAAATCCTTGACCTCACATTTCATAACAGAAATTTACTCTCTTTCCTTTCATGGCTGATTTTTCTCTCTGC